CTCATGTTCCTCTTCTTTTGATTTCATAAATCTATTCATTTATATGGTTTTTATACTTTTTGTGTTAATGAGACACTTCTTTCATATTAACATATTTATATGTGTTCTCATTATCGGTTTTGTATGTGAGTTATGTCTTAATCTATACTTTCTCACATATGTATGCCTTAGCATTCATTTTATACATTCATGAGGCATTTTGATAGGGGGAGCAATCCCTATACTTGTTTGATACTCACCTATGCTTATTAATAGGGGGAGCTTTCGCTCTCTTAATTCTTTTGTCCCCTTTTTGATGTTGTCAAAGGGGGAGAAATATTGTGAGTATACATTTATATGCATGTGTATTATCTTGTATATGTTCATTTCCTTCATGCATATATTCCTTTTTGTAAATTGTTTGTCATCATCAAAAAGGGGGAGATTGTTGGCCTTCTTGTTTTGATGATGTTTAACAAACAATTTACTTCTAATGTTGTTTGTCTAGTATTTGTGTTTTCTTATTTATTATAAACAAACAACGTAGTTGGAGGATGGATGGAATAGAGCTTCAACGATCATATCCAAAGGAGGTTGGCGGAAATGTCGGTGAAGCCTTACAATTCAAGTTAAAGATCGAGTTCAAGCTTCATCCGCAAATATATCAAGTCAAGCCTATTGAAGATCAAGATCAAGATTTGGTATATTTAGTTTAGCTTTTATATTATGTGTGTTAGATACTCTAAGCTCAATATCATATACACACACGTATTTGGTTTCTAAGCTCAAATATTGTATTCTCAGTTTATAGACTTAACAATCATCATATACATATTTTATCAAGTCTATATAATCATTGTGCAAAGTTTCAAAACATTGTTTATGTCAAAACATCAAACTTCATGTATACCACTTTTTTCATGTTTTGAACACTTTTGCAAAATAATGAGATTTCACAATTGGGAAATGTAAATTGGAAAATTATTTTGTAACATGTTCAAAATATCATTTTCAAACATTTCTCAAAGTTTCATCAAGTTTGGAATTGATTTGTTATGTTTAAAGGAATTTACAAATTCACGTTTTCGTTCGTGCACATGTTCGTGCATGTTTTACAAAACTGATGAGTTTTCGCAAATGGGAAGTGATATTTGAAAAATTCTTTCTCTGATATGTTTATCTACATGTTTAGAAACTTTTCTCTAGTTTTTACTATTTTTGGAGTTGATTTACTATGCCAATTGATTTTACAAAATCGTATATGTTAACAGTTTTTCAGAAACTGTAAATTTGTGTTCAAATATTTATTTCTCTCAACTGGGAAAAGATTTTTCAGAAATTCGTTCTCTGACATGTTATTCTACATGTCTAGAACATTCCCACAAATTTTCATAATTTTTGGAGTTCATTTGCTATTTTAAATTGATTTTACAAAATATCTGCGCACTGTTACAGTAACTCCGGTCGACCCGACCGGTCGACCGGAAATGTCTCTGGACGTTACTCAGCTTTTCATATGGCTCTCGGTCGACCGTACCGGTCGACCAAAGTTACTGTAGCAGTCGACCATTACACAGTAACGGCTAGTTGCTGATTTTTGTTTTTTAATGGTTTTTTGGGGCTTTTGGGGTTGGTTTCTTCAAGCCTATATATACCCCTTTGTCATAACTATTTTCAATCATCTAAGAGAGTTTTAAAACAAGTTTAAGAAAGTTTTAATCAAGGGTTTAAGTTTGCTTTTAGTGTTTGTTTAAAAAGCTTTTAAGCATTTACAAGAGTTTGGTTTGTGGAGTAAATTTCACAAGAGCAAGTGGAGATCATCCTTGGTGTTTGAGCATTCATTCTTCTCCCTCTCTCTTGTCATCTATAGAGAAGTTTCCTTAAACTCAATTCTAGCATTTTATAAGTTTGTTCTTAATTTCATAAGCTAGATTTCATATTGAGTTTATATTGTTTTATCTCTTTATTCACACACAACCTATTGAGCTTATTGTATTTACATTCATAGTATAATTTAGGATTGTGGGTTTGTGACTAAGAGTTGTGCTTAATTGAGTTCTCACCTTGTTAGAGAGAACAATCATTTGTCATATTGTGCCTAATTATGAGGATTCACTTGTAATACACTTGTACACCGGGAGAAGTATGTGGTGAGAGACGGGGTCGAATCCAAGAGGAGTGGCGTCGGTTGACGTGCCTAGGGAGAGGTTATAACTGAGCACTTGAGGAGGAGGACACGGGCTAGGACCAATACTTAGTGTGTGAGGTGTGATTACATAGTGATTGTATTGTGAGGTGTAAACGTTGTTCGGGTGAACGTAGAAAACCCGGTTGTGATAGTGGAGATCTCCTCGAGGTGAGGAGCGGAGACGTAGGTCGTAGGGACCGAACTCCGTAATCATATTGTTTGTTTGTGATTGCATTGGCGCACTTACTTTTATGTTTATATCTTATATCGCCTTTGTATGTTGCTTGTTGATTATATTGCCCACTATCTAGTTTAGATTGTTTACCCTTGAGCTTATATATCCTTGCACATACATTGCCTATATCTTTTTGTTAGGATATATCTTGTTGTTCATATTACTTATCCTAGCTCATATACATTGTTGTATTTCATACTTGCTAGGATAACTTGTTTATTAATTTTAATTGGCATATAATCGGATTAGATTAGCATAAGACCCTAATCACCCCCCCTCTAGGGTCTAACATTATATCCTACAGGGATAATATCATCAGGTGTACGGACTACAGGTCCGAATACTTTTCTTTTATTTAGCGAGTCGAGCTCTACCTCTATTGCTTCTTTCCATCTCTCCCAGTCTGAGCGCTTCCGGCACTTTGCTATTGGCTTAGGCTCTGGATCCAGATTATCATTAGAGATGAAAAGAGCAATCGTGGAGGCAAATATGTTGTCGACAACTGTTATATTTCTATTGTATGTTTTTCTGGTATTCACAAAATTTGTAGCTACTTCTATGTTTATATCCACCAAATATTCATCATTTCCCATAACATTTAGATTTGGTTGTTCCGCAACCGCAACCTAGTGCGATGATTATCAAGTGCACGTGTAATTTTACTGGGGCTTTTGCCATCAGGACGATCCTCTTCAGGAGGTTTTGGGAGTGACTGACTTTCTTTATTATATTTAGTTTGCTGCGGATTCTTATCTTTCGCACCGATTGGTCTCCCACGCTTCAGGCGTAGTGGAGCATCATTTGATTTACTTAGTCCCTATGGGATTTCCACTCTTTGTGGTGCATTTACAGCAGGAACACTCCTTTGTGATCAGTGAATGCGTCTGGCAGCTTATTTGCCAAATTTTGCAAATTAATTATCTTCTGAACTTCAAGTTTAGTCTGACTAGTACGTGGATCTAAATATTGAAGATCTTTTTCATACCACGATATTTCCTGAAATTTATTAAATTTTTAGTGTTTATCTCTCCCTAATGTCGGGAAATGATCTTCATCGAATATGCAATCAGCGTACCGAGTAGTAAATTGATCCCCTGTCATGGGCTCTAGGTATTTTATAATTGACGGAGTTTCATAACCGATGTATATACCTAGCTTTCGCTGATGGCCCATAGAGGTACGCTTGGGTGGTGAACTGCAACATAAACTGCACATCCGAAAACACGCAGATGGGAAATGTTTGGTTCTTTACCACGCACTAGTTGTAAGGGGGAATAATCATGATATGCAGTAGGTCGGATTTGGATTAATGCAGTAGCATGTAAAACGGCATGTCCCCAACAAAAAATAGGTAGTTTTGAATTTTGTAATAATGACCTAGCAATTAGTTTGATCCTCCTAATTAACGATTTTGCTAAACCATTTTGAGTGTGGACATAAGGAACCGGATGCTCTACTTTAATACCCAATGCCATACAAAAATCATCAAATGATTTGGATGCGAACTCGGTAGCATTATCCATACGAATAGATTTAATTAGAAAATCATGAAATTGAACTCGTAATTCAATGATCTTTGCTATTAATTTAGCAAAGGTATTATTACGGGTGGATAACAAGTTGACATGAGTCCACCGAGTAGAGGCATCGATCAAGACCATAAAGTATCTGAATGTTCCTGATGCAGGATAAATGGGTCCACAGATATCTCCTTGAATCCTTTGAAGGAAAATGGGAGATTCAACATTCACTTTAGTACGAGAAGGGCGTATTATAAGTTTTCCTTTAGAACAAGACTCACAAATATAGTGTAACGATGAGGGGACATTGTTGCTGGCATATTATGCCCAATTGAATTTAATATTATCCGACGCATCATATTTTGCCCAGGATGACCCAATCGCTCATGCCATAATTTAAATAAATTTGGGTCTTTAAATTTTAAACTCATCACAACATGGTTAGTATTAGGTCGGATATATGTGTAGTACAACCCTGAGGAGAAAGATGGAAGCTTCTCAATAACCTGCTTCCGACATCTAATTGACTGAGTCATGAGAAGATGTTCAACACCATTCTCATTTTCGGTTTCAATATGAAAACCATTAGACCGAATATCTTTAAAACTAAGAAGGGTATGTTTGGATTCTGGATATAATAATGCATCATTGATAATTAATTCTGTACTCATAGGAAGTATTAGTGAAGCTCTGCAGGAGCCTACTATCAACACATTATCGTTAGCAATGGTGGTTACGCTTCCTTATTTTTCAGTCAATGTTTGGAAAAAAATTCCATCTTTCAGGATAGTATGTGTGGTAGCACTATCTACCAAGCACAAGATAGTCTCCTTCTCCATGGGTTGTATGCGAGAGTTGTCGTGCTATTAAAAAAAATGAAATATTCATATAAGCACAACAAAAATAAGGTAAATGCATAATCATTTAAACAAACCCATACGAACTTAAAATTGTCTTACAAAAACATGCAAAATAAGTCTAGAATAATTCCAAATTATCTTAACAAAAGCAACTAGAACAAGTTTGAAAAAACAAAATAGACTAATAAAACATGCATAGATAGTGATAAATAACATGATCACTCATGGTCACCAAAATCATCAAGCTCCATCTTCAATAAGTCATCATCATCCAGATTCATATCTCCCATCTTCAATAGGTTATCATCATAATTGTCATCTTTTAGGGTCATGTTTGCTTCAGGCAAACTGGCATGATGTTTCTCACCTTGTTTTGCCTTCCCCTTTGAGTCCTTCAGCATTCTCTGATAGGCATCAACCAAATATTTCAATGTATGACATGTGCGAGACCAGTGGTCCTCACATCCACACCGATAGTAAGCTTGCTTGTTATTTGCAACCTGTTGATGAGAGTTAGGCTTGTGTGAAGGAGATTTATCCTTGTTCTGACCCTTGTCACGGTCCTGAAGACCATTAGCATTACGACGACCCCTACCCCTACCACCACGATAAGACCCGCGACCACGTCCACAACCTCTACCATGTCCACGCCCATAAGTATTACTCTGATTTGCGGCGTGTGCTTCAGGCACAACTTGCGAACCAACTGGTCTAGCATTATGGTTGCGCATCAGAAGTTGGTTGTGTTTCTCTGCAACTAGTAACGTAGAGATCAATTCAGAGTGTTCTGAATAGTTTTTAGTCTTGTACTGCTGCTGGAGTATAAGATTACTTGCATGGAATGTAGAGAGGGTCTTTTCAATCAATTCATCCTCTGTAATGTTCTGCTTACAGAGCTTCAGCTGTGAGACAATGCGGTGGAGAGTTGAATTGTAATCAGTCACAAGTTCAACCAATCATACTGTGCTTGCGGGAGCATAATAGCCGTCTGTTAGTCAAACGCGATCCTTCAGGGATTTCCATAGAACAGCAGGATCTTTTTCAGTAAGGTACTCATTTTTTAAGTCTTTGTTGAGATGATGACGAAGAAATATCAATGTCTTTGCCTTCTGGGCAGAGGTGCTCTGAGAAGCTAGAACAATAGTGATGCTTAAATCATAAAAATCCAAGTAGATTTCAACATCCAAGGCCCAAGTCAAGTAGTTGCTGCCATCAACGGCAGGCTCAGCAAATTCTCTTTTGGTGATGTTAGACATTGTTCAGAAATGCTATAATTATCATTAGAAGATATATCAATCCACCAAATTTATAAAATATTGCACTATACAATATGTGCATACAAACAGAAGCGAATAAATGAAGGAGCCACAAATCATTAGTTACAGTGCATGCCTCTGTTCTAATTAGCTAGGAAAAGTGATCAATCAACAGAAGGTGTGCATTTGCAAATTGTATTAAACCAGACTGCATGAAATCAACATTTAATAAATGGTTTATATGCATGTATATTATATAACAAATACGAGAACGGAGAGATTCTATATATATAAAAACAAACAAAAAGTGAATATTTGTTTATTTATTTTTACAAGATGAAAATAGATTGTATTCATAATAAGACCAACTCAGCAAATATATCATCATCACATGATTCGCATAAAAACAAACCAAAGAATTTCATATCATAATGGACATAATCATAATCATTCGACAGAAAGCTTGATAATATGTAAATAGACAAATGCCGAATGTATTATTACTTTGCAAAAGATGTATACTACCTAAAAATCTATTAATACGAACCGATGATCACGAACCGGCTAGAGCCATTTGTGCTGATAACGTATTGTAATATACTAAAGAAATGGAAACAAGAGACAAGAGAAGAAGAGAAATTGTAATTTTTATTCCCCTTCATCCATTTTCATAGATGGTACAATTTATAGATACATGATGGAAGATAAAATGACATTGGGCTAATCAAAAGACACCAAGTTAATAGTCCACATATAAAGTAATGTCCACATACATTTTGTCTTTTAGATTTCAACAATTTTGTCTTTTCATATGAAAATAAAAGAGTTAAGTACGAGAAAACGGACCAAACAGCAACAATGACTATGTATAACCGCGGGCAATGCGTAATAAATTAAGAAAAGGGGAAGTGTCTAGTCATTAGCGTGTGATTAATGAGCTAACATGGTAATTGGTCATATAAATTAGTTAATTAATAAAGAAAGAAAGAGGTAGTTAGGTTAATTATTGGTCCGGCTCAAACCTCACAATCTAGTAACAGACCGGAAAAGGAAGAAACCAAATCTCTCTTTCTTTCTAAAACTGATGTTGACTCGCCTCGCTAAATTGCCAAATTGAAAATCTCTCCTCCTGATCTGCTTCAATCCAAAGAATTAGATATTTGCGGCACATCCCCCCCAGGCTTCCTGATATGCTTCCATCGAGAGAAGTTGATATTTGTCCCCACCGTCTGTTTCAATCAAATCTTAAGCGTCTATTTTGAATAAAACGTTGAGAAATGACGTACTCAGGCGCTGCAACAGTAGTGCATCTACCTCATTGTGGCCGCTTCCAAACGATGGCCTTCGTCGTGTCCCTCCCGCAAACGGTGGGCCATTGTCACTCTACGTCGGGGCCCCTTTACGGCCGCCTTCTCTGGTTTATGGGGTCCACTTGTGTCAAGCAATACTGACTAGATTATAGCTCTTGTACATCCCCCATCTTACATTAAGGTATATACATCCCCATCTTACAGTGTATTATTTACTATTTAGAGTATTACAAGAAGTGAGAATAATGTTTACATATTGACATCAAACTATTTTCTTGTATTCACGAAAAAAATAATAAAACAAGAGTTTTCTTTAGTAATTTCACACCAACCAGTTTGAGATTTGATCGAATCATTACATGTGAGAGAATCCTCTAATATGTCATGTGATACCTTATTTGGTTGAATAAAATGGAGTTGCAAATAAAAATAGAGCAACCGTATTTGTAAATACATTATTTGGTTTATAATTTTGCAATCAGAAAAAGTAAATGGATTTGTATTTTGTATTCAAAATACTTGCTGCAAATGCTACAGCCAATTTGGTGGGAGGAAAATGTGTAGACTTCATAAAAGAGAATTAAGAATATAAACAATTCTACAGAAAAATCACCTGCACCTAAATTTCCTTGTATTGACAAAATCTTTTAACTTTTGAGTAATTGTTTTTCAACTGAACACTAAAATTGCGTTTGGAGATATATTTCCTATAATATAATTGTAAATATCTAAACATCGAATTTACAGTCCATTCCTGCAACAAATGTTAGATGAAACATTTAATGCATTTTATTTTTTTAAGAAAACCAAACAGCCCCTTAGTTTCCTAAAAAAATAATGGGAAAAATGCTTCCAGCCCCCAAAAGCTAAGGAAACGTGCTTCCCACCCCCAAGACTTTGTCAACGGGTGTTTTACCCCCAAAAATAAAGATTATGTTCTCTGAGCCCCAGAACACAAAACCCAAGACATTAAAATATGTAAAGACCATAATACCCTTCTCTTTCTTTTTTTTATTGAAATATAATAAGGATTATTTTATTATTTTTATTTTCTCTCTCTCTTTATCATGATGTACTAAGATGATAGTTGAAATGATTGATGATGATTATTTTATTATTTTCGTTTTTTATTATTTTGGTTGTTTGTATTGGGAGATTGTTAAAGTTACGGGTTAATTGTTAAGGTTACAAGTTAATTATTAATGTTACGGGTCAATTGTTAAGGTTATGAATCATCTCTCTCTCTTTCTTTTTTTATTAACATATGATGAGGATTATTTTATTATTTTTGTTTTCTCTCTCTCTTTATCATGATGTACTAAGATGATAGTTGAAATTATTGATGAGGATTATTTTATTATTTTTATTATTATTTTAGTTGTTTGTATTGGGAGATTGTTAAAGTTACGGGTTAATTGTTAGGGTTACGAGTTAATTGTTAATGTTACGAGTCAATTGTTAAGGTTATGAATCCTCTCTCTCTCTCTCATGATGTTTCTTTGATGATATTAAAATGATTAAAGAGGATTATTATTTTATTATTTTTGTTTTTTATTCTTTTTGTATTTTTAGAATATTCATTTGTTTTTTATTCTTTTTGTATTTTTAGAATATTCATTGTTAAGGATAATGGTTGGTTGTAAAGGTTATGCATTGATTATTAAGGTTACGGGTTGGTTGTTAAGGTTTAAGGATAATGGTTGGTTGTAAAGGTTATGCATTGATTATTAAGGTTACGGGTTGGTTGTTAAGGTTACGGATTTGTTGTTAAGGTTACGGGTTTGTTGTGTAGGTTACGGATTTGTTGTTAAGGTTACGGGTTTAATTGTTAAGGTTACGAGTTTAATTGATAAGGTTACGAGTTTAATTGTTAAGGTTACGTGTTTAATTGTTAAGGTTACGGGTTTAATTGTTACGGTTGTAGTTTATTAATTGTTAAGGTTACGGTTTAATTATTAAGGTTACGGGTTTAATTGTTAAGGTTACGAGTTTAATTGTTAAGGTTACGGGTTTAATTGTTAAGGTTACAGGTTTAATTATTACGGTTACGGTTTTAATTGTTAAGGTTACGAGGGAGATAGAGAATGGATCCATAACATTAACAATTGACCCGTAACCTTAACAATTAAACACGTAACCTTAACAATTAAACCCGTAACCGTAACAATTAAACTCATAACCTTAACAATTAAACCCGTAACCTTAACAATTAAACCCGTAACCTTAACAATTAAACCCGTAACCTTAACAATTAATAAACCGTAACCGTAACAATTAAACCCGTAAACTTAACAATTAAACCCGTAACCTTAACAATTAAACCCGTAACCGTAATAATTAAACTCATAACCTTAACAATTAAATTCGTAACCTTAATAATTAAACCCGTAACCTTAACAATTAAACCCATAACCTTAAAAATTAAAACAGTAACCTTAACAATTAATAAACCATAACCGTAACAATTAAACCCATAACCTTAATAATTAAATACGTAACCTTAACAATTAAACCCGTAACCTTAACAATTAAACCCGTAACCTTAACAACAAATCCGTAACCTACACAACAAACCCATAACCTTAACAACAAACCCTTAACCTTAACAACCAACCCGTAACCTTAACAATCAACCCGTAACTTTAACAACCTCCCAACACAAACAACCAAAATAATAAAAAACGAAAATAATAAAATAATCCCCATCAATCATTTCAACTATCCTCTTGGTACATCATGATAAAGAGAGAGAAAAAACAAAAATAATAAAATAATCCTCCATCATATTTTAATAAAAAAAGAAAGAGAGAGAGAAGGGTATTATGGTCTTCACATATTTTAATCTCTTGGGTTTTGTGTTTTGGTAACCTTAATAATTAACCCGTAACTTTAATAATCTCCCAATACAAACAACCAAAATAATAAAAAACAAAAATAATAAAATAATCCTCATCAATCATTTTAACTATCATATTAGTACATCATGATAAAGAAAGAGAGGAAACAAAAATAATAAAATAATCCTCATCATATGTTAATAAAAAAAGAAAGAGAGATGATTCATAACCTTAATAATTGACCCGTAACATTAACAATTAATTCGTAACCTTAACAATTAACCCGTAACTTTAACAATCTCCCAATACAAACAACCAAAATAATAAAAAACGAAAATAATAAAATAATCCTAATCAATCATTTCAACTATCATCTCAGTACATCATGATAAAGAGAGAGAGAAAACGAAAATAATAAAATAATCCTCATCATATTTTAATAAAAGAAAAAAGAGAGAGAGAAGAGTATTATGGTCTTCACATATTTTAATGTCTTGGGTTTTGTGTTTTGGGGGCTCAGAGAACAGAATCTTTATTTTTAGGGGTAAAACACCCGTTGACAAAGTCTTGGGGGTGGGAAGCACGTTTCCTTAGCTTTTGGGGGCTGGAAGCATTTTTCCCAAAAATAATTAGTTAATATTATTTATAATTTCATCGAGAATGATAGTACACTATGCAATTAGTCATATGAAAAAGTACTATTTCACGAAGTGAAATTGTCAAATCAAGTTTCAATTTAGATAAACGAGGTATATGACATGGCATCGGAAACCCAATAACATGATCTAAATGTCTAGAAGCTTGTGCAGTTAGGATGATAAATATGAGTGGTGTTAGGGGCACACCCCCAACC